CCATTTCATTTCGGGAATTTCGAATCACAAAAATTCCATGGACTATAGTACATGAAAATTGTTAAGATATGCATCCACCTGCATTAGGCTCGTTTGAACTTGAAAATGCACTCGTTTTTCCCGCGAGACAAACTATATACATTGTCAACGTCTTCACAAACATCTATGAAAAACTTCAGCCATTTCGTTTCAAGAATTCTAAATCACAAAAATTCCATGGACTATAGCACACAAAAATCAGAAAAATATGTGTTTACCTGCTTTGAGACTCGTTTGAACATGAAAATTCTTTCGTTTTTCTCGCGGGACGAACTGGATATATTGCCAAAGTATTAACGGATGTTCTCTAAAAATTTTGACCATTTTGTTTTTGGAATTGTGAATCACAAAAATTTCATTGACTATATCACACGAAATTGGAATGATCTATGTTTATCTACTTTGGGGCTCATTTGAACTCTAAAATTCACTTGTTTAGGAGCTTGTTTGAACTTGAAAAATGAGTCTGTTTTCCCCGTACAACGAACGGGATACATTGACAATATCTTAACAGGCGTCTACGAAAAATTTTGGCCATTTTATTTCACGAATTTCGGACCATAAAAATTCTATTGACTATAACACATGAAAATTTGAAAAAATTGCGTTTACCTGCGTTGGAGCTTATTTGAACTTGAAAATCTGCCCATTTTTCGCTCGGGATATACCAGATACATTTCCAACGTCTTAAGGGATGTCCCCAAAAATATTTGGTCATTTATTTTGAGAATTCTGGATCATGAAATTTTAATGCACTATCATACACGAAAATCTGTAAAATCTGTATTTACTTGCTTTGGGCTCATTTGGACTTGAAAATGCGTCCGTTTTTTCCGTAGGACAACTTGATTCATTGTCAATGTCTTAATAACGTCCACAAAAATTTTGATTATTTTGTTTGGGGAATTCTGGTTACAAAAATTCATGGACTATAGCACACAAAAATTGGAAAAATTTGCATTTTTTACCTGCTTTGTGGCTCATTTTAACTTGAAAATGTGCCCGTTTTCCCGTGAGAAAAACTTAATACATTTCCAACGTCTTAACCGACATTCACAAAAAAATTCATCCATTTTGTTGAAAATTCAAGATCACAAAAATTCCATGGACTATAATAACACACAAAAATTGGTCAAATATGTGTTTTCCCGCTCTTGGCTCATTTGACATTTAAAATGAGTCATTTGGGCCGTGGTGACCAACTTTCTCCATAGATAAGGTCTTAATAGACGTCCATGTAAATTTTCAGCAAAAATGACATTGAATTTCAGATCGCAAAAAAATCCATGGACTATAACACAAACACACAAAAATTAACAAAATGAGATTTACATGCTCTCGGGTCGTTTGACCTTGAAAATGTGTCGTTTTCGCCGTGGTGACCACCTATATCCGTAAGGTCTTAACGG